AGTGAGTGGGTGAGTGGGTGAGTGAGTGAGTGAGTGAGTGAGTGAGTGAGTGAGTGAGTGAGTGAGTGAGTGAGAGAAAGTTTATGAAAAAAATTAGTTATAATTTATTAATTAATGTCGAAATTTATTGAAGGACAGAGACCCCCAATAATAAAATAAATAAATAAATTTTTTGAATATATTTTTTATAAAATTATTTAACTTAATGATTAAAAAAAATTGCACCGAAAATATAAATGTACTTGCCGAAATCAAAATTTTTTTTATTATTATTTGCATTTTTGATATGCAATTTTCAACCCAAAAAATAAATAAATACAAAAATTAAATGTTAAATCAAAAAAAATAAAAATAAAAACATTTTTTTTGATTTATCTTTTTGCAGTGCAATCCAACCAAAAAAAATGTATATAAATTTAATATATATTTATTATTTATGAAATAAACAACAAATACATGACATTTGTCATCTAATATATATATATATATATATATATATAATATCAAAACTATTGCTAATAATTATAATAATTATCTCTTAGTTTTTTTTAAATTTATTTATTAATTAATAATTTATTTTATATATTGTAAATAATAAATACTGTATATATATATTAGCAAAGTAAATAAAATAATTATTATTTATAAATTAATATTAAAAAAGTATTTATTATTATTTTATTTATTTTTTTGAGTTAATAATAATAATTGATTAGTAAAATAATATTAATAATTATTATTATATTAATACAAAACAAAATGATAATACATACCATATTTTGTTGTGTTTTTATATTTTCAATATATATATATATATATAAATATTTCAATTGAAAAAAAATAATATATACTATTAATAAATGTCAATAATTTTAGTAACTATTATTATTATGACATAAAATAAAATTGATAAATATATATATATTATTTAGCAATATACTATAATTATAATTATTATTATTATTTTGTCGGTATAAATATTTATTTCACAATTTGGCAAAAAAAATTAAATGTTAAGTTTTGTTAAAATAATATATCAACAAAATATAAATGATATATAAATTAACAAAAAAAATTATTATATATTTATTTTTTATTTATTTATAATACATAGTATTTTTTGTTGTTGATTGACATTTTTTTCGTATATATATATATAAACTGTATATTTTGTTACATTATTTATTATACTTTTTGAATTAATTTATATATTTATTATATATATATATATATTTACATAATTTCAAGTTTACTGTCAAAAAAATAATAATAAATAAATAAAAAATAACTAATAATTATATACATAAATATAAATAATTATAAAAACAATTTATTTAATTAACAAATTAATGGCAATTATTATTATTATTATTATATATTTATATCATTATAATCATCTTTACGGTATATATTTAAATATAAAAAATGTATATAAATATTAACAGACAAACAAAAAAAAATAATAATTAAATAATTGCTATTTAAATACTGTTGTCATTGTCATTGACTATATAATAATAATAATAATAATAATAAATTATAGATATGTTTATATAATTAAATATTTATTATTATTATTTTTTATTTGTGTGGACTTTCACTAAAACCCAACCAAACATTTATAGAGAGTTAGAGAGAGAGAGAGAGAGAACCGTATGTTTCATAATACCTGAGCTCTCGTAATACCTGAGCTTTCAATATATATATATATATATATATATATATATACTGTAAGGAAATACTGTGTAAGTTATTATTTAATTATGTTTTTTTATTATAGTTTTTTAAAATAAATTTAATTGTAATAATAATATTAAATACACACACAATGATGAAAAAATTCAAAAATTAATGAAAAATTAAAAACAAAATGTTTTTTTTATTTAAATATATAATTTATAATAAATACTAAAATTCAATGTTTTCTTCTTTATTTATGACATTTATTTAATTTATATATAAAAAAATTAATTGACTTAATGTTTATACAGTATATATTATTTTTATGAAACAAAAAATTAAAATGATAAATTAAATAACGCAATCATATATTATTATTATTATTATTAACAATTTTTATTATACTATTTAAATTTTTAAATATAAATTTAATTGTTATAATTACTTTATATTTATAGTTAATATATATTAGAGATTACTTTAAATTGTTTTGTTTTTTTTAAATATATAAATAATGTCTAATATAAACCCAAATTTTAATTATTAAACTACTAATAAATTATAATATTATATATATATATATTTATATATAAAACAATTAATTAGATGTATATCTCTATTACTACTATTGTGTTGAAACAGTTTTCAATGTTAATAACAATTGCAATGCGAAAAAAAACAGGAAATGTTTAATAATAATAATAATAATAATAATAATAATAATAATGTTTTTTTTAAATAAATGATTTTTAAATGTTAAATATTTAAATTAATCTATCATGATAAAATAATTATATCAAAAAAATATATAGTATAATATATCATATAAAATAAAATTACTATTAAATAGTATATAATGAAGATTGTTATACTTTTATAAGTGATAATTAATACCAATAAAATCAAATTAAATTAAATGTTTTTTATTATTATTATTGGAAATTAATGGTCGAAACAAATTTTTCTAACAATAAAAAATAATATATCAAATAAAACGATATATTATTAATATTATTATTGTTGTTATAATTATTATATAAAATATTTAATAGTAATGATATGTGTGTGTGTGTGTTAAATAAAATTTATTATTATTATTATTTTATAATAATAAAAAAAATAATAGTCAAAACATGACAATTCAATTAACTATTATTTAATATATAAATATATTTTTAAAAAATTCAATTAAATGTAAAATATTTTTTTATTATTATTAGACTAAACATTTTAATTTTTTTTATACTATATATTTTTATTGGTTACTCCACTAATTTATTTATAGTTTTAATTAATAAGTTATTATTATTATTAATATTAGTAATATTAAAATAATAATAATATATTAACAAAAATTATTTGTGTTTAACACACTTTTTTAAAAAATGTCAAAAAAAATCAAAAAATATTTTTATGTGTCTTAAATATTAGAAAATTATTTCAACAACAAAAAAACTATATATATATGCTATCTATCTATATGTTATCTATATGTATGTTTGTTTATGTATGTGTCACATATTGATATAATAATAATAATAATAATAATAATGTTTATAAGTGCATATATATATATTATATATATATATCAATATACAAATAAATAAATTTATATATATGTATGTACTGTACATACAGTACATATTAGCCATACTATCTTTTTATTTTGTATGTTGAAAAATGTGGATTAATTTTTAAATTTAACTATAAGTTTATTAGGTTATTAGATCAATAAGAAAATAACTTAACTATCTCCCTGTCCTCTCTCTCTCTCTCTCTCTCTCTCTCTCTCTAAACTTTAGCTTTAACTTAAACTTTTTGGGTAAACTGCATGTATAATAATAATAATAATATACAGTAGTAGTAGTAGTAGTAGTAGTAGTATTAAAAGTAAGTAAGTATTAAATGGCATTTTACCCAAAATGCCTGTCCAAACATGCCATACATACATACATACGCATATACACACAGCACATGGATATATCATATATATATATATATACTGTATATACAGTCACTATCTCTCTCTCTTTCTCACCTTCAGGTGCTCCCAATCCCTGATCCCGTATTCAAGTGCGAGAGAGAGAGAGGCATATATGAGTGCACACACACATTGCACATACATATATGAAATTATTTATCTCTCTCTCTCTCTCTCTCTCTCTCTCTTTCTATCACTAATCAGCGACTATATGTATGTGCATGTTGTGGGACTACCTTATTATTAAAAATGTTTGTACTGTATAAGTGTGTGTGTGTGATAAACATGTATGAATCAAGTCATACATATATATATACATATATATAAACTAGTGGTGCGACCACATGTTTACTCACTTTTTATGACTCTCACTTACTTTACATCCCATTCCCTATTACTACTTACTAACTACTACTAGTGCCTGGAGATTGTGTGTATGTGTGTGTGTGTGTATGTATATATGATCCGGTGTGCAAAACTAGGATATCTTAAAAACTTTTACTAATACTACTACTATTACTACTACTACTATACATACATACACACCAACCAACCAACATCACCACAAAACTTATTAGTTTATTAGTATTACTATACATCAACAACAACAAAAAACTACTGGGCCACAGTTTGTATATATGTGTGTGTGTATGATTAAATAGTCAATATGTATTTATTTGTATAGATATATGTGTGTTAAATATATACATATATACTGTATATATATATATATACCTAACCTGACTACTAGTAAATAATTAACTGGGCCGTTTTAGATTTTAAATAATAATAATAATAATAATTTCATTGTTAATTTAGTAGTAATAATAATAATAATAACAATGATATTATTAATAATAATAATGATTTGAATTTAATAATAATAATGTTATATATGTTTTTATATATATATTATTAAATAATGTTTTTATTATAAATGACTGACTAATTCATTATAAATGATAACCAGTTTATTATAATATTATAAATAATAATAATAATTGTTTTTAAAAAAAATTAATTAATTTGTGATATATTTGTGTGTTTATTATTATTATTTTTTTAATAACAATAATAATTTTTTTTTTTTTAAATTATATATATTTATATATATAATGACAATAAAATTTAAATAACATTTAATTAATTAATAAATAAATAATAATAATATTGTGTATAACTGTGTATTGGTGTCGGTGTGTGTGTCAGTCAGTCATATAATTAATTAATTAAATTTAATTTTAATTATTACTAAATTAATTAAATTAAATTTAATTTTAATTATTACTAAATTAATTAATTAAAACTAAAAATAATGTCTTCAATAAATTTTGATGAACTATTGTTATTGAAAAAATTTATTACGGTTTCAACTGATTCAACATCAGCTGCTGGTAGTAGTGTTGTTAACAACCATAACATCCATAACCTATCCTCAGAGTCGCACCAGTGGTCGTCTAGTATGACATCGATGATAGGCCTCTGGGCTAACAGTCTTCGACTAAACGAATCGGATGTTTGGCATAACTTTCCTGGACTTCCGTTTGCGCTCAATATTGAAGCCAATATGAGTGGCGAAAAACATGTAATTTTCAAAAAAAAAATTAATTATTTTTCAATTATTAGTATTATTTTCAAACACAACACAAAATAAAATTAAATAAAAATATTTACCCTTTAATTAAAAAAATTAAAAAATAATTTCTATTGAAATTTTTGTGTTTTGTGTGAAACAAACATAAAAATAAAATTATAACTATAACTATGAAAACATTAATTAAATTATTTAGTTATTATTTTCGAAAAAATATTTTTAATAATTTTTTTGAATATTACTAGAAATAATAAAAACAATTTTTAATTATTTAAGTTATTTAGTTATTATTATTATTTTCGAAAAAATATTTTTTAATAATTTTTTTTTTTGAATATTACTAGAAAAACAATTTTTTAATTATTTAAGTTATTTGATGTTTAAATCAATTATTATTTAGTATTTTTTCCCCCTCTAAATAACAAAATAATAATAATAATTTCATAACTAAACAGTTAATACCATATGTTTACTGTATTTACTTATAATTTTTTAATATTTTTTTATTGTTTAGTATTTAAATGGCCATTAAAAACCCTAAAAATTTTTATTTATTTATTTGTTTAAATTTTATAAACAAATATTTTTTTTCATACAAAAATTTCTAGAAATATTATTAAATTATTATTATTATAGTTATTATCACTTATAATAATAATAATAATTAAATGTTTGTTTTTGCAAATTATTTTTTTGTAAGCAAATAAAACTAATTTCAATCATTGTATTAACCAATTGATTATTATTATTGAGTGAGTGATTTAGTTTAGTTTAATACTAGAAATTAGATTTACTTTCAAATAATAATAATTATTATTATCAATAATTAGGATTAAAAAAAATTTTATAGTTGTTTTTGTGCAAAATTATTATTAAATTATTGCCAATATTTAAAAACAAAAATAAATACTTTCAACTAAAATATTTGTTTAATAATCAATATTTATAATTATTAATATTTTAATTGATGTTAATATTAATTTTAAAAATTAATACAAATTACTCAACAACAACAACAACAAAATATATTAATTAGTTATTTTAAAAAATATTAAATTAATTTTTTTAATTTATTAAAAAATTAACTAGGGAAGGAAAAATTAATAATTATATTAAAAAATTATATTAAAATTAATAATAATTATTAATTAATTACAAAACTATTGATACACTTTAATATATTTATTATTAATTTAATAATTTAAAAAATTATTATTATTAATAATATAATTATTTTTTCTAATAATTTAAAAAATTTATTATAAATAATAATAATTATATTATTTTACTATTTAACTGTTTGTTTATTATTATTATCATTATGTATATTAGCGCATATGGATCAACCAAAACTGGCACTTTACTGTCTACCTGTCCATCGTATATATGGTTACGATTTTCCTCGGCGCTCAATATATGAAAACCCGACCGGCCTTTGACCTGAGGCGACCACTGGCCCTATGGTCGGCATCGTTGGCCATATTTTCGATAATGGGAACCATCCGATGTCTACCTGAGTTCCTATCGATAATCTATAACCATGGATTTATTGAATCGTTTTGCAATAATTCATACAAAGATGATAATCGACTGGTTTTCTGGTATCTCCTATTTATTTGGTCCAAAGTAGCCGAGCTGGGGGATACGGCATTTATTGTCCTACGTAAGCAAAAGCTAATCAACCTACACTGGATACACCATGTCCTCACACTATGCTATTGTTTTTTTGTATTTCCCGATGAACCGGGTACTGCCCGTTGGATGGTATGTATTAGTGTCTAGTATCTATTGTCTAGTCTATTGTCTAATCTAGTGTAGTGTCTAGTTGTTATAAATTAATTTTATTTTTAAAATAAATTTAAGTGATCTAGTATTAAAAATTTATTTTTTTTATTTTAAAATATTTAAGTGTCTAGTATTATACATTATTTTTTAAAAATTAAGTATGAAATTAATTATTTTTATTTTTTTTGATAGATAATTAAATTAGTTATAAATCTACCAATGAATATAATATAGTTATTTAGTAATTAAATTTTATTAAATTTAATTATTTTTTGTTTTGTTTATTTTAAATACTAATTCTATAATAATGATATTGATATAGTTATTGTTTATATATATATTTTTAATTATAATATTAATAATTAAAAGTTATTTACTAATGAAATTAAGTATTAATATATTTTATATATTTTTGTGTTTTTCATATAGATTTATAATTTGAATATTATTTTTTTTTGTT